GGTTTAGGGTTTAGGGCTCTGGGACTCCACCGCACCTTAGTTTCCTTTCTCGGCTCCTTTTATGGCATCTAAGATATGATCGTACAAGGGTGACTGTACTACTAAGTGTGCATGCACGATAGGATGGACCCCGAATTCTCAGTTTCGTCTTGCAGGATTCCATTGCCAGTCCAGGCTTGATCAAGCTGCTCTTTAAACCGGTTACATTGCAGAGTTCAGCCCCAAAGCCCATTGAACGTTCAAAGCTCTGAATCCAAAGCCCCCGAGCTTCACGCCCAAAGCTAGAACCTTCAACCCGTCCGTTGACCAGGAAAATCAGGAAGTAGGGCTGTAAAGACGAGTAATCGCACTTGTAGTTGCTTATACTCCAAGTGAGGCACTTGGTACCATATGTATCACTTCCTTGCTATCGCTATGCCATAATGAACAACTTGGAACCATATGTAGTATTACTTCCTTGTTATAACTATACAATTGAGTATACAGTTAAGTATATCCCAAAGCCCCATTGAGCCTCAGAGTTTTGCAGACCCCTGCTTAGTAGATCCCCCCTCTCCTGCCTTAAATACAGGTGGGTTTAGGGTTTAGGGTNNGGGTTTAGGGTTCGGGGTTTAGGCCCCTCGAAAAGCATGGCTTGAATCGAAAACTTTGTGAGCACTATACAAACCCTGGAAGCCCTTATAAAGCCAATGTACAATCAACAACAAACCTCCCCTCAGGCCCTAAACCTGAACCTTAAGGACGAAAAGAACCCTAAGCGGGTTTAGGGTTCATATACTATATCGGGATTCTTAGCATAATTGTATAGGGCCTGCACTGTTAAGTGTCATTGGGTCCTTAAGGAACCCTAAACCCACTCCCATCTGACTCATCTGACATTCTACGGTAGAACCCATGGGCCCCTAGTATGGGCCCTTAACCCTGGGACCCTAATATACCTACTACATACCCTATATATACGTTAGGGGCCCATGGGTTCAACCTTACATCTGACTCATCTGACATGTGGGGGTTCCCGAAAAAAGGGGACCCTAATATAGTACCCTAAATAGTAGGATCCCTATTATAAGGACCCAAAAATAAGGTACCCCTAATAATCGGAAACCCCCATGTGCCTGGCAGGAAAGGATGGCTATCAGCCCCCCGCCGCTTTGCTCCATCGCACTGCAGAGCTCCTTCCCAAGGAACGTGATACTGTTTAGGGTTTAGGGTTGAGGGGTGCACTTAAAGACTATGCCCCATAATAGCAATAACAATAGCATTATGAGTAGTGATAATCATAATGGGAATGTAAGAAAATAAATCTTCGTACTATGATCTCAAGCATAATCCTGATTTGGGCTGTCTGGGTGGTGACTCGTAAAGACACCGTTTTACCCAAACCGGAACTCTAAAGCCACATGTCTTCGGACTTCGCAAGGCCAAACACAAACAAACTCCCAATCCTGAGGTTTCGGGTGTCCTGTCAAATTCTGGTTTCAAGGCCAGGGCAAGTTGGGGGCGGAGATGTAGTGTAGGGGCCTTAATGATTAGAATAGGGTCTTGAGGCCCCTTATACTATAATTATACCACGAAAGCCCCCCCAAAACAGGAAAAAGGCATTTAATAAGGCCCCTATCCTAAGCCTTAGACCCTCAAATCCGAGGCTCCTCGATCATGATAACAGCCGAGGAGTCGTAGCCTAGAATGACAATGTGGTCGCCTGCGGGGAAGGAAACTCAGGAAGAACTTGGTCGCGGCAATTAAAGGAAATTAGAGGTGGGGAGTTTAGGGTATAGAAGGCTTCTGTAAGGCTTCCGTAAGGTATATAGACCTTCTATAAAGCTTCTATGACGGTAACTACCCACCTGAAAATGTCCTAGACAGAAATGCCTCAATCTGCCACAAGCTAATTTGTAGGTTCTGTGGGACCTGAAATACACCCTGATATCGGTTTCCTTCAACAAACATAAACAAAGCCTACTACGTCATGCAAGGTAAGGTTTACATTACAATAGAGCTTTGGTGAATGTACTTAGTGCTCCTTCGTAATATGGGTGAGTGCATGTTTGCAGCGTCCTAGAAACACGAGTAATGAAGCTTCACCTAGAGATCACGGGCCGCTTAACAAAACGGATCATACCTACACCTCTAAACGCCTATTACTTAATCCAAAACCCCCCCTTCTTGAAGCCCCCCTTACAGCCCCCTTAAAGCCCCCTTGAAGCCCCCTTTAAAGCCCCAAAAGGCTTCGTTCTGTCGACAGTTTCTTCCGTTCTGGCAGCAAACCGAAGAGAAAGGGCCCGGTTGCACTTTCGAGGCCGGAGCCATTCGAAAGACTATCCCTTATCAACCCGGTCGCAGTATTTTGCAATACATACCAAAACCCAATTCTTATTGTTACCGCCCCTATCTGAAGGGCTTTCGGGGGAACTTTGAAACCCTAAACCCCTGAACCCCTAAAGTCATTTGGGGATCGCGGAACTGCCAGAACGCTGGAATGGAGAATCTCCCTCCTAGATGGCCTTGATTGAGGGGCTGAGTCATGTAGGGGCCTTAATAATCAGAATAGGGCTTTGAGGGTATATCCGGGTATACTATACTATAATTGGCTATAAGTATAGTGGCCTGAATAATTTAATCAGAGTAGGGTTTGGGGGGTATAATATAATATAACTTTATAGTAAGGACCCCACACAATAGCATAGGTAATTATTAAGGCCCCCATTTTGCTCAAGCCACAATCGGCTAAACGTTTCACTCTACGGAAAAGCTTATACGAGGCCCCAGGTTTTCAAGGCTGCCTACGTTTTGGACAACTTCATCAACTCTCATTCGAACCAGTAGACTGCAAGCTAATTCCCAAAGTACCAAAGCCCTCAAGAATCTAGGACAGTTTCAGGTGGGTAGTTGTCGTTATAGGAGCCTTATAGAAGGTCTATATACCTTATAGGAGCCTTATAGAAGCCCTATATACCCTAAACTACCCACCTATAGTTTCCTTTAAAAGAAGCGCTCAAAACCCTAAACCCTAAGCCGCCTTCGACCACTGGGACGGAACCGTGGCGCAAATGCCAGAGGAACTCTTCGAAACTGGAGGTGATCAGCGACAGCAACAAAGCGAAAATCAGCATGCCACCTCGGGGATGAAGGTTTTGGGTTTAGTGTTTAACGACCTCTTAATGCAGCGGCCTTAATTAGAATTGGGTTTCGGGGATCATGATGCCTACATTATATCAAGGAACCCCCCAAAATAGTATTGGTAAATAGGAACCGTTTCAGGAGTAGTTCAATTATAATGTTGCCTTCTCGGGACTGCCTCAGTGATTTTATCTCTGGGTAATACGGATGGCTGAATGACAAAGAACAGGATTTGGGATAAGTTCTAACAAACACTATAAATATGGGCGCAGATTGCTACTAAATCCTTTCAATCTGCAAACTACGTTTCAACCGAAAAGGGAGGAAAGCCTAAACCCTAAACCCCCTAAACCCTGAAACCCTAAAGCCCTAAACCCCCTAAACCCTCAACCCTGAACCCTAAACCCTCAACCCTAAACCCGAAAACCCTAAAGCCCTAAACCCTAAACCCTAGAAGAGTGGAAAGCAGTGTAAGCGGGTCGGCTTCAGAGCTTTGGGAACGTGCCCCGCTCTTTAGCCGGTAAGCCACAAAACCCGAAATGACCAGAAACCCAGCCATGAGGGTTTAGGAGTTTAGGGTTGAGGGTTTAGGGTTTAGAGTTTAGGGGTTTAGGGTTTAGGGTTTAGGAGTTTAGGGTTGAGGGGCCAGCTATTTCTTCCGGCGGCTTGTTAAACCGAAGCCCAAACGGGTGCCTTTTGACGGGTTCAGCGGGTATGCAAGCTAAGCTAGACAGTGCCCTCAACCCCAAAGCCCGAAGACCTCGAAACTCGTCGGAAATCCTATAGACCTTACCCCGGTTTAGAGTTTAGGATTTAGCATTAGGGCTTAGGGTTTGGGGGTGAAACGCAGCAAAAGGGGAAATCATAAGCCAAGCTGCCAATCGACACCACCACTCCAACGACGTGGCCACCTCGCACCGCTCGCTTTCATGGTTCGGGATGTTAGGAGAATGTAAAATACAAGGTGTTGTTGTCCTTATGTATCTTAAAGCCCTTCAGTGGCGCAATTGGTGTCTTCGGGATTTGCACATTTGTCTCTGGGCTTGTCGCGTTTAGTGAGCTACGAAATGTCAAGATGCTACGACTTATGCCGGGCACTCGGGCCTACTTCGATGGAGGGCACATGCGCGCACATGTTGAACTTGTTCAACAAAGGTCAGGCTCGTGCACTTTGTTTTTGCGTCTGGTATGGAAAACCCAGTAGCTAATTAGCAAACCCCTAAACCCTAAACCCTAGTCCATGCTTTAGTTTAAGCTTCACAGTTGGTGGATAGGGTTCAGAGAACACGGCATACGTCAGAATTTAGAGCTTGGGATTATGGCTTAGGGCTTCAGGTGTAGGGAACCGGGATTCCAGGAATACGCGGCTTCATGGTTTAGGGTACAGGCTGTGGGGTATGTATGTTTGCTTGTCTAGACTCAATAGATGTTTGGTTCAGTGCCTACACTATTGGGGCTGGTGTACCAAATCATAACAATAAACATGGATCACGGCACACAGCACGAGTACAAGCAGAGAGCCAACTAATCACGAAGGGGCGGAGTAAGCCGCCTAGCCTTCGATCGACAAAACTCATGGTACCCAGAGAGTGTCAAAACTCAAAAGCTGTGATCGCAATCAGAACACAGACACACACACACACACACACACACACACACACACCTACCTTATATATGCCATAATGCGGATCCCCATAAGGTGTCTCTATGTATTTCTGATGAAAGTTCAGGGCTAAGGGCTTAGATTCCAGGTTCACGGTTTGGGGTTGAGGGTTTAGGGTGTATTCTCTCGATTCTCTGTTGCAGGTTCATTGATTACGAATGCAGTTGCTGCACTATTGCCTGACTGCTGCCTTAATGCCAAGCCCGACACAAACCCGCTACACTCAAACCCTTAAGCTCAAAGGCGGCAGCCTAAAAGCAGAAACCCCAAAATATTGAACAACCCTGAGGCCCTTGCGGTGCCCTTAGAGTAGCCGTTTCAGTAAGCCTGGCAGTCCTTAAAGGGAATACTTTCAGGACAAGCTTAACAACAACGCAAAAAAACAATTCTCCAGGCAGCCTTCGTGAGCAGATTCGCCACCGTCTGGATCTGCAATCCATATCCAGGAACGCCACAGGGATTCCTTCGGCTCTGTTTTAGGTTGTTAGTTGTGTTGTGGGTTTTGGCGCTGTGCAGTAGGGTCTGTAGGGCTTCTAAGGGGGTTTGGGCCGTAGGGTTCAAGCTTTAGGGTTCCAGGGTCTTGCGGTGTTCAGGATTTCAACCCTAAACCCTAAACCCTAAACCCTAAACCCTAAACCCTAAACCCTTGCGGTGTTCAGGATTTCAGGGCCCGGGCCGGACACAGTTTTTGACTTCATGGCGGCTCTGTCAGGTCACATCCTAATGCAAGGGCCTTGATAATTTCAACAGGGTGTTGGGGGTAATTTACCCCAAGCCCTATTCCAATGGTGATTAAGGCCCCTATATTATATTACTCGTCGAACGGGTTCTAGTTCCGTGAGGTTCTTGCTGAGGCAGGAGGCCTCTTCGCTGGGCATCCCTGCATGCCCCCAAACCCTAAACCCTAAACCTCTAAACCCCTAAAACCCCAAACCCTAAAACCCTAAACCCTAAAACCCTAAAACCCTAAAGAGCTAAAACCCTAAACCCTAAAACCCTAAACGCCTTTGGCGCATCGAAACGGCGGCTTTCGACAGCTTGCGGCAGTTCCCGGCCCCCGGAGCTGGACGGATGCTTTGCTAGGCCTTAAAGTATGTAGTGGAGACAAACCAAAGCAATCTCAACATAAGGGTTTAGAGTTTAGGTTTAGGGTTTAGGGTTTAGGGTTTAGGGTTTAGGGTCTAGCCACCCCTTCAAAAAAACCTTGGCAGAACCCTTCTTCAAGAAACCATGTAGTCTTGTTTTGCCCCGAGCCATTTCGGGCCTTTTGAGGTGCCGGGTTGTGCTCGCTCGATGTCCCGCTGCCATCAATTATGGGGTGTTTCAGAAACCTGGTGTCCTTTTTAAAGAGTTCGAACTATAAAAGCCCGATACCCGTAAACCCTAAACCCTTTCTACATACTTCGGTCAGTGTCTCACCCTAAGGCCAGAAACCCTCAGGCCGTGCTGCCTACTCTCTGCTACCCAAAAGCCCCGAAGCTTAAAAACCCTCAAACTTCAAGCGCCCCACACCCGCAAAGCGCCAAAACAACGTATACACACCAAAACTTTACAAGAAGGATCGCCACACAAGGCACACCTTCTAGAAGCCCTCAAAGGAATCCGACGCAAAGCCCCTGAAGAACCCGCAAACCCTTCAGGCCTGAATAGACGCACGGGACAACGCGCTGTGTCCCAGTCCACCAAGAACCTTCGGATTAGGGCTCAAGGGCCTTAAGGGCGGTTGAAGATTAAACGTGTTTAGCGCTTTTTGCCATTCAGATTTCGAATTTGAGAGCCTCTGCGTTTTTGTAGGGTTTTCCCAAGCCTTTTCGACGTTATAAAGGCTATATACAGTTTCTGACCTCTTTGTTAGGGTTTGTGATTGTGAGTTGCCTATACGATTGCACGCGTTCTACAGGATTTTAACCGCCAAAACCCTAAACCCTAAACCCTAAACCCCTAAACCCTTAACCCCTAAACCCTAAACCCTAAACCCCAAACCCCGAAACCCCAAAACCACTAAACCCTAAACCCCAAAACCCTAAACCCCAAAACCCTAAACCCTAAGAGCTCTTAGATGGAGGTTGTCGGATTGCAGGTCCACCTTGGCCCTGCAGACTGAATCTGTTTCTGAAGGCTTCTTTGGCTATTGAACCCTATAAATTCTAAACCCCTAAACCCTAAACCGCCAAAGCCCTAAACCCAAACCCCTCAACCCTAAACCCCTTGAACTCCGAAGTTCTGTCATCTTTTTTGGCCTCTTTGGGCATGAGGGGCCGCATTTCTTCCAGTTCCGGGCTTTGGGGGACACCATCTGCAGGCTTTTACAGAGAGTTTAGGGTTTAGGGGTATAGGGGGGTTTAGGGGTTTAGGGGTTTAGGGTTTAGGGGTTTAGGCGTTTCAAGATATAGGGGTTTGGGGGTTTAGGGTTAGGGTTTTGGGGTCTAGGGGGTGTGGGGGTTTAGGTGTTTAGGGTCTAGGGTTTAGGGTTACAGCACTGTGAGTCAAAACTCAAGAAGCCCCAACCCAAACCAGGGGCGTGACTAATTAGAATAGGTCTGACGAATCAGCACAGGGTTGTATAATCACAACACAAAGGGGCCTTCTTAACTAACACATAGCAACTGTTATTACCGCTCTCATATCTTTTATTATTACTACTATAATTACTAGTATTAATACGATTATTCTTATTATTAGCAGCAAAACAACTTGTATTAAGTAGTCCGACCCCCTATAAATTCAGGCCAGGCACAAGCAGGGTCGCCGACATCACCAGGAGGACCTTTACGGAAGCGCCGGGTGTCCAGGCATACCAGTGGCCGAATCGATACCTCTTGCTCCGGGTTAGGGTTGAGGGTTCAGGGTTTAGGGTTTAGGTTTCCGGGCCTAGGGTTGAGGGTTTAGGGTTTCGGGGTTTAGGGTCTTGGGGGACTCTAGCACGAGGGTAAGATCTCATGTCAGACCTCCGAGGTTGGGTAAGGTGTGCTACAGGGTCCTATCGATTGAGATGTTGGGGTTGGGGCTGAGGGTCTTCTGGCTTCAGAACTTCGTATTGGGGTTGAAGAATTAGTTGGTGTTTCGGGGTCTAGGGGTCCTCATCCTGAGAATTTTTAGGAGCATGGCTGAACAACTGGGGTTTTGGGGGTTCGGGCTCCAGGTTTGAAGTTGAGAGTTTCGCGGCTTGAGGCTACCACGCCCGGCTTTGGATCAGGAGTTGAAGATGAGGGGATTCATCGGGATCGCGGTTTGGAGGTTTTAAAAGGACGTCAGTGTTAAGGTTTTGATGGTAAGCTAGTATCCAGGGTCTGCAAAAAGGAGTCTGTGGTGAGAAGAAAACAGAACAGGAGGAGAGTGTTGCAGTGGTTTTGCATTGAAGCTACAGCATGCATCCAGGACCTTATCAGAATCATGCAAATTCGAAGGTTGTCATTCCTAAGAAGCCCAACACAAATGCATTTTGCAGTAAGCTCAGACTCATGATGAACTCCTGCTAAAAACAGTTATTCAACTCTGGTCTACCAGCTCATACTGGACAATGCTTAGTGCATCTTGTGTTGAACAGCAAAACATGTTTTGAGGCATCTCCGCAACGCTTCCAAAATCAACCCTGCATCCCGGAACTTGTACCCCGACAGGGTCTCGACAGATCTCGACAGGGTTTGTCGACTTCGAAACCCTAAACCCTAAACCCTAAACCCTAAACCAATTTCCGGCTTCAAGCCTTTTTTGAACCCTCGAGGGGGAACCGGAATGCGCTCGACGAGCCAAACCCGAAGACCCAAACCCCAAACCTTGAACGATAGACCTCAGACCGGAAGGTTCAGCACACACATTAAGAAACAAAGCGTGCACCCGCAAGCTCTAAACCCGACGACCCTATGTAAGCCTAACGCCGCAAGCTCCAAACATGAAATAAGACAGAGACATTATGCAAACCCAAATTCTCAACCCGCCTAACCCTGAATTCAAGCTCAGCACCTATGTCTAAGAGTGTAACGTCGGGGCTTCAATACTTTTAGTAGGGTTTGGGGGCTCTATCATCATAGTGTACTTATTACCATATATTTAAGGATCCCGAAGGAATCCCTGAAACCTAAACTCCTAAACCCTAAACTCCTAAACCCCCTAAACCCTAAACCCCCTAAACCCTAAACCCCTGAAACCCTAAACCCTACACCCTAAACCCTAAACTCCTAAACTCCTAAACTCCTAAACTCCCTAAACCCCTGAACCCCTAAACCCACACCAGCACGCGTCAATAATTCCGCCCTGTAGAACCATGTCAAAGGGTTCCAGGCCTTAGCGAACCATCCAAGTCCTGAACCCTGGACCTGAACTTGCCCCCCCAGAAAGAGGGTTTAGGGTGTAGGGGTTTAGGATTTAGGGGTTAGGAGGGGTTTAGGGTTTAGGGGTTTAGGGTTTAGGGGTTCAGGGTTTTAGGTTGACTTAGGCTTTAAGGTTTGCGCGTAAGGTTTTGGGTTTTCATGGTTTACGGTTTAGAACCCTCAACCCTAAACCCTAAGCCCTAAACCCTAAACCCTAACCCCTAAACCCTAAACCCCTAAACCCTAAACCCCCCCTGGTTGCCCCACAACTCTTTGACAAGCGGTGTCAAGTACCCTACTTTTGGCTCTCTTAAAAGGGACCTTATTGAGAGGGTCTATATCCCCAAGGGTCCCCCTAATCCTAGCTCCCACAACTCTTTGACAAGCGGCGTCAGATACGTGAAGAAGCCGGCTTGATGGGCGGCACGCTTGTCTCGAAAGCGACGTCTGGCATGAGGCTTAGGGTTTAGGGTTTAGGGTTTAGGGTTTAGGGTTTAGAGGGTTTAGGGGTTTAGGGTTTAGGGTTTAGGGGTTTAGGGTTTAGGGTTTAGGGTTGAAGACAAGGGTAGACGAATGTAAAATGTAAATAAGGGCCCGCAAACGAGGCCGCAGTAATTCTTGAAAACCCCCTTGGTGGGTCTTCCCCGGCCTGCGTACTAGAGCTTGAGGCGCTAAACCAAATTCAGCCCCAAACCCCATGACCCGAACCCCAAAACTCCAGTAGACCTTGAACCCTCAACTCTACCCTAAACCCTAAACCCTGAACCCTAAACCCTAAACCCTAAACCGCCTGATTTCCAAACCTGACGTTGCGACTTGGTGGCATTGTGCACGGGCTGCATCGCTTTGAAGATATGGCTAACTTTGAGGGTTTAGAGTTTTACAGAGTCTAACCGGATCGGTCACAAACTCTCTCGAAATGTGGGCTAGAAGTTTAGGCGAGAGTCTAACCGGATCGGTCCCAAACTCTTTCGAAATGCGGGCTAAAGTTTAGGCATCAACTCACGTCCCCCCACCGCGTAAGGCACTACATGTACTCTTATGCCCGTCTTAAGGACTGAGTAGTTTAGCCCCCCCAGAAGTGTAACCAGTCGAAGAGAGTAGGAATGCCCGAAAAGGTTAAAGGTCAGAAACCCAGCCCCTAAGCACTCAAGGGAGGGGTGTAGCGTCTGGGGAGCCTAAACCCAAAACCCGTACTAAACCCTAAACCCAGACCTCCTCTGCTAGAAAGGCGTTTCTGGGTCGCATATCTTCGCAAAGCGCGCTCGCCTCTCTTGCCACACGATGCGGACGATTTGATTCCTTGGCCCAGGCCTACTGAGTCTACTGCAAAGCTTAAACCCTACAGGCCCTACAGGGTGTTTCTGTGGTCCCCTGGAGATGTTTTCAAAAAGGGGCCTTCGAAATATCTATCAACTCCTGGGTTAGGGTTTTGATGATTAGGATAGGGGTTTGGGGTATGTTATAATATAACGACGACTGAACTGTGAGGGATCCTATTTTGATGTATGTTACACCGTAACTCTACTACGGAACACCGAGGAATACTGTTCGGAATTATGCAAGCTTCTACATTGCCTTAACGCCTTAGATTAATCCCTGAACTTGTATGTCAGCAACCAAAAACGCTGAGCCCTGGGTTCTTTTTATGTATATACAAAAAGAGATTGTCCTATACACATATACGTAGATATGTGTATACTGATGCTTAAGGTGCTGATGTGTTGATATTCGGACTTCTGCTGGCGAGGTTCAACACCATGAACCAAACTCCGAGGAAAATCAAGGCTGGAACACCTCAGATGGACAGCTGAGTTAAAGGAAACTACAGGTGGGGAGTTCAGGGTATATAGGGCTTCTATAAGGTATATAGACCTTCTATAAGGCTCCTATAACGGTAACTACCCACCTGAAAATGTCCTAGACTGAGAGCTCACGCTTTAGGGCTTCATACGGCTCTGGGTTTGGGGCTTCGGGTTGGTTTAGGGTTTAGGGTTTAGGGTTTAGGGTTTAGGGCCAAGTGGTTTATGGGTTTAGGGTTCTGGGTCTGGGATTTGCGCTTTGTGGACATGGCCGTACGGGCTTAATGCGGGGGCCTTAATAGCTAGACTTGGTTTTTTTGGGGTTCCTTCTGATAATTATGGTATAATGGGGCCCAAACCCTATTCTAACTATTAAGGCCCCTACATTATGGGCTAAGGCTTGAAGGTCTTAGGGTTTCGCGTCATACGTTGACCAAGGTTTCAGCCTTGCCCCCCCGATACGTAAACAGCTTGGACGAGACTGCATGGAAGCCCGGGTTTAGGGTTTAGGGTGTAGGGTTTAGGGGTTTAGGGTTTAGGGTTCAGGAATGTCGTTCATGCTTGGAGACTGATTCGCTTCGCATAAGTCTCGGGACGGGTTGGCCTTTGAGGTTTGATGGCTCTAGACCAGACCCCAAACTTTGAGCCCTAAACCCTGCTTAAAGCCTCAACCAAATCAATCTGGAGTGGCCTCAAACTTTGTTACAGCAAGGAACGTACCATGTGGGTCTGTGTTAGGGCCCAAGATCTTCTGAAACTCCCGTCTATCAGAGGTGTCAGCATCCGCTGATCCTTCCGTCATCACCATTATCACCCCCCATAAGCCTCCTCATCCTCACCGGCGTCACGCAACATCGTCACCATCATCGTAATCATAGCTTGAACCTAAGTTGGTTGTTTGCTCAGGAGGTACTGCGAGCCGTTGACCCGCACTCCACATGAACGTGCCCCGTCAGCCCATCTCTGTACTCAATGTAGCCTCTTGGAAAGAATAGACCGTCGCCCTGAAGTTCATTGTGACCTGTGTGTAAACGGACTGTCCGGCAACTTGGGTTGGGGTTTCATCCCGAAGCCAGTTGCCTTAAACCCTAAACCCTAAACCGTTTGCTTGTTAAAGTGTCGCCGGGCTGGGGCTTAAAGGCTCCAGGCCGTGAGAGGTGCATTACAGTAGTTGTCGTTGTAGTTCTAGCTGTTGCCGCCGTTGTCTGTTTGCCGTCTCGTTATTTCTGTTTGTAAGTGTACCAAGCCTTACTTACACCCAAAGCCCGTCTAGTCTAACCGTGACCGCAATCCTAAATCCTGAACCCTGAGTTTTAACTTCTAACACCTAAATCCGAATCCTAAACCCTAAATCCTATATTATAACTCCTAGCTCCCAAGTCTGAATCCTAAGTTCCTAAATCCTAAACCCTGTATTGTAACTCCTAGAGTCCTAAACTCTTAAGGCCTAAATCCTCTAGTACAACTACTACTTCCCAAATCTGAATCCAAACTCCTGAACCCTAGATCCGACATTAAAGGTTCCTTATCATAACTATAGCATAATATACCACCAAAATCCTATTCTAATTAGTAAGGCCTCTAATATAGGGGCCTAAATAATTACCAATACTATTTTTGGAGGGGTTCCTTACTACTAATATAGGATCCCGGCCTTGTTTCCGGGTCCTCATCAGGAGGCTCGCGGGGGGCCGGGCTGTTTGAGTGCAGTGATCTTGGCCTTGATCTAGAGCGACTTCGAGATGCCGACCCATGGGCACGCGTGGCCCTGGACCTGTCCACAGCTTCTCGTATGGCCTTTAGGCAACGTTGGGCTGCTGAAAGGTTGAAGAAAGCATCTCCATCTTCATACACCATGTCCCCTTCTTCCTCGCTGCCCGGCCTGATGGCACTGAGGCTGCCTGGGGGCAGCGTTGGCGACGGAGAGGTGCCCTCCCCGAAGATATCGCCTACACCAGCAGCTTCTTCGCCGTCTGTCGAGGAGGCCGCATCGACCGTCTCTGCCTCTTCCTCCTCATTCGCCTCCTCGCCCTCGCCGGTGACATCTGTGGCCGGTGGCTCGAACAACAAGCTGTCCGCGTCCTAAGCCCTATTTAAAAAATACTAAGGCCTCTATATTAAGCCCAAACGTTAACCCTGAATCCTAAACCCTAAACCCTGAACCCTAAACCCTAAACCCTGAACCCCTAAACCCTGAACCCCTGAACCCTAAACCGGAAAAACCCTAAACCCAAAAGCCTAAACCCCCAAACCCCAAAACCCAAAAGCCTAATCCCAAAAACCTAAACCCTAAACCCTAGTCCCTAAACCCTTAACCCTGAACCATGAACCCTAAACCCTAAACCCTAAACTCCTAAACCCTAATCCCCAAAAGCTTATTGCATGATCGCCCCAGGCGCTCGCATCAAGCCAGGCCCTGACGACACCGAGTTTGGGAATCTTCGGGGGAGGGGTTAGTGGTTATAGGGGTTTAGGGTTTAGGGTTTAGGGTTTAGGGTTTACGGTTTAAGGTTTAGGGTTCAGGGTTTCGGGTTTAGAGTTCAGGGTTATTGTTTATAGGGTTTAAGGCTTTAGGATCTCGGGTTTAAAGGTTAAGGGTTGAGGGTTGAGGGTATACGGTTTAAGGCTTTAGGATTTCGGTTTTTTGTTGAACTCCTTTTCAAGGGTTTCGGGTTTCATGGTTAAGGGTTTAGGGTTGGAGGGTTTAGGGTTTGGGGATGAGGGCTTAGGGGTTTAGGGCATGATGGTTGCGGGTTCAGGGTTTAGGGTTCAGCCCTACGGCTTAGCTTAGGGCTTCGTACTTCGGGATTGGCATTGAGTCTGTGGAGTTTCGGTTATGTAAGTCCACGAGCGGTCTTCGTGTCCTTTCTCGTATTCGTTTGTCTTAGCATCGAGGCTCTCTCTGGGGAGGTCCTAGTTAGGGTTTAGGGTTTAGGGTTTAGGGTTTAGGGTTTAGGGTTAACAACCGTCCTATAGGGCCCCCTGATTGTACAACTCCTTCGTCAGTATCTGCTGCTAGCACTACCACGACCACCTTCACGACCACTGCCACTACCACTACCACAACCACCGCAAGGACCAGGACAAAAACGACAAAGATTGCGATAGACTACGACTACGGCCACGACGGCGTTCGCGACTACGACGTGACGAAAACAAGATTCCGACGACGACGACTACGACTCAGTCGACTACGACTGCTTCCTCAGTCTGCTACTGACACCACCACAGCCAAGCCGACAGCTTGCAGTAGCAGTAAGCTTCCCTACAGGAAGATGCCAACCACAAAGGACACCTCCATTGTTGCTGCTTCGTGCGGCACACATGAAGTAGGGTTTACACTGCTGGAACCCCCTAAGGACACATCATACATACACGTGCTACAACCTATTTGGAGCCCCATATGCACCCAACAAAATCCTAACGTAACACCCTAGCTGTCCTAGCTGAGATGGAGGGGGCCAGGACAATAAAGTACTCCGCCCGGTAAACCCTAAACCCTATAAAGACACCCTAAACCCTAAACTCTGTTTTGGTCCCTGCATGATGCACAGACTATTGTGGGAACTACCCATTTGGATCCATTGAGGCCCAACCCGCCAACCTTTAGGGCTGAGGGTTTAGGGTTTAGAGCCTTACTGAAGGAAACTACAGGTGGGGAGTTTAGGGTATATAGGGCATCTATTGGGCTTCTATAAGGCATATCGACCTTCTACAAGGCGGTAACTACACACCTGAAAATGTCTTAGATCTTACCCGTCATGTAAGGCTCGTAAGCTTTCTTACGATTAGAATGAATAGATCAGAAGCCATCTAAAGACCCACCCGGACGCCTCCTGGTCTCTGCTACGCAGGGGGCAGCAGACTGGCAGCGCTAAGGGGGGTTTGGGGGTTAGTTTCGAGAATAAGCTCAGAGGTTGGGGGTAATGTAGGAACCTGATTAAGAAACCCAGAAAACCTGGTCGTATAGCCCCAATGTACTAGGATACATATATAAATATATAGCCCTAATAAAAACCTAGTGTTTCTTCATCAGGTTCCTAGATTAGGACTTTTGGAGTTTAGGATTGGGCTCGGGTTTCCTATCGGTTACTATAACGGCTCTGAAAAGGTTTTGGGTTGGGTCTCCGAAATCCTGGGCGTAAAGGCTTTCGGGTTTAAGCGCTGGGCTTTGGGCTGCTAGGGTATAGGGTTAAGGAATCAAGGAGGTCCTGGGCCGGGACCTTAGTGGTTTCGTGTAAAGGCTCCAAGAAATTTGGGATAAGGTCTTAGTCTTACCTTAAGAACCCAAAACCCACTTTTTTGTAGGTTCTTATTATAAACCCTAATATGGGATTTTATAGGGACCCTACAAAAAAGTAGGTTTTGGGTTCCTAAGGTAGGCTTAAGAATCTTAAGAATTTGGGTCAGGGTTAAACAGTCTAGAGGATTGACCCCGAAACCAGGAACCCAAAACCCCAAACCCTAAACCCTAATGAGCCGGGGTTTGGGAAGAGCCAGGAAGCCGCGTAATCTACGAGGTTGACGAAGCGGTGGCGGAAGCCCAGAGGATGTCATGGAGCGAAAGTTCAGGGTTCAGGGTTTAGGGTTTGGGTTTTTTTTGTCACCTCTTTTCCACCTGCCTGGTTAGTTAGGTCGAATGCCAATTTGGCGGAGGCTGTTTTGCTTGCTGCTTCACACCACGGTTTAGGGTTTAGGGTTTTGGGCTTGAAAATGTCCTGGACAGTGCGGTTTAGGGTTTAGGGATTAGGGTTTGCACGAGTTTGTTGCCAGCCTCGTGGCAAAATACCTACCAGCGATTGCATCTGCAAACCCAGCGGCATGCAACGAACAAGGTGCTGCAAAACAAGTTGAGTTGGATTCCTAGGTATTTGGCTTCCGGCGTCCGGGCTTGAGGTTCAGCTTTTAGTCTTCAGGGGTAGCTCCGAGGCTTTGGGGGAGTTCTACAAGGATCTGCAGGCCGGAGTCCTCAAACTCGAAGCAACGACGGCGGAGCCACAACGGCGACCGTAACCCTTGCCAAAAGCGCAACTAACTTCTAAACCCTCAACCCTAAACCCTATAAACCCTAAACCCTCAACCCTAAACCCTCAAACCCTTTTTGTTGCTCTCCACTTCCACGGCCCCAAACCAAAGCTAGAGACTCCAGAATCCTTCCATGCAGGACTATTCCTCATCCTGGGGCAAGATCCCAAGAGATGCTCCTCATTCTAAGAGGGATCTTTAAGAAGGATATCAGAGGGATGCTCCTCATTCTAAGGGGGATCTTTAAGAGGGACATCAGAGGGATACTAACAAGAATTGGGATCCTGAAGGAGAATGCCTTAGTGAAGAGATGTTGCAGTCGCCCCAGCCTGCGGCGCTATCGTGTCCATGGCTCCCGCCCGAGTAACATCTCTTCAGAGGGGCCCACAATCAACCCGAATTCATGAACACCTTCCAGGAAGAAAGCCTTGCGCCCTTCAGACTGGGGTTTGGGTTCAGTGCGTTTGGCTAAGGGCTTCGGGCTTCATCTCTTTAAGCCCTTCAGGGCTTCGAGTGCTACGCCCAGAATGGGCTTGAGGTATCGTGCCTTTGATTCAGCAAACGGAATGCTTCACCCTTAACTTGTGCCCTCAACCCGAAGCCCTAACACCCAACTTTGTGACATCCCAAATGTTCCTAAACCCTAAACCGTAAACCCAATGTCTGCTCTCGAGTTGAAGGTCGTCGGGAAATGAGGCATGGGACCCACCCTAAACTCCGTTTAGTTTCGAGGGGGCGCTGCAAAATTTCGAAACCTAAGCGGGCTCCAAAAGGTTACACATCATATACGCACATGATCGACATAATATAGTGGATTCAACAGGCCGGTTTATCTTGGGCTCGCATCGCTTTGGCATGTTCTGTTTTTTTGTCCATGTCCTTTGGGCCACGAAGCTGCGGGATGCTGCGTTACATCCCAAAGAGCGAACCTGAAAACTCCCAGCCCCCAGAGGTGGAGGAGCCCATGTAACCCTAAAGGTCCATGTGCCCAAATAGTCTGTACTTTGGCCTTAAAGTAGTCCCTATATAGGTACTTTAGGGCCAATGTATATACTATGTAGGTACCTGAACCCTCAGATTAATACAGAGGCCTTAAAAATTAGAAAAGGCTTTGGGGGTATATTCTGCTATAGTTGTACTATAAGGACCATCCAAAAAAACAAAAATAACCAATAGTATGTTATAGGGCCTTTTGTTAGGCCCCTATATTACACTGTGAGCTTTCGGCCCAAGCCATTGTCAGCAACAAAACACCTAGTGTAGCGGCTTTAAATAACGCAGACGAGGGTTTTGGAGTATAATATAGCTCTAAGATACCTGGACTATATGGGGATATGATTATAGTAACCTACGCCCCAAAGCCTTAGCAGCAAAGACACACACACACACGAAACTCGAAGATCTCTCGCCCAGACCACCTAACCCCAGCTCCACAAAGCCAAAGACTGAGCCACCTCAAGAAACTAACTTAAAGCCCACTGCAGAAAAAATCCGAAGCTTGAACCCAACAAGCGGCTTGTCGCGCCGTTCTGGACAGCACGTTTGAACCCTAAACTGAAGTTCCCCGGTTTACAAGGAGATGCCAGGCTTGTTCTTTACCTTCTGACGCCAAAAGCAAAAGGAACTAAGTCCCTGAACCCTAAACCGCAAACCCCTAAATCCCTAAACCCTAAACCCCTAGCCCCTAAACCCGTAAAGCCCTAAACCCCGAGCCCCTAAACCCCTAAGGCCCTAAATACCTGAACCCTGACATGGCCTGCAAGCCTCAAGCCAGCAGCCCGAAACCTAAACTTTCGTGATCTAGGGGCCCTGAATAGTTTTAACAAAGCTGTTGAAGGTTCCTTTTGAAGGGATACTATAAGGGCTACTTTACGGGTTTAGGGTTTAGGGGCCTTAATAATTAGAATAGGGTTTTGGGGCCCATAATACTATAATCATAATAAGGAGCCCCCGAAATAGTATAGGTAATTATTAAAGCACCTATGTTAACCCCTTTCGGAAGTCGGCAAGGACATGGCATCCGGTATCGTAATCCTTGTAGAAACCATGATGCGAGCCCCCCCTTCCCTAAACCCTAAACCCTAAACCCTAAACCCCACACCTCGGGCATGGCGGCAGCCACCGGACCTGCCCCAAAAAAGTCCAAACCCACAAGATCTGGGGTGCTAGTGTTTAGGGTGTGAGCTAAACCCTAAACCCTAAACCCTGAACCCTTGTTTAGGGTGCTACCGTTTAAGCTTTAGGCTTTTGAGGGTTTGGGGATTGGACTGTTGGGAAGAGCTCCCTCGGTTACTTTATGGGAGTTTCCAAAAACTAGGGTACCTTATTTTGGGGTCCTTATAATAGGGGTCCTACTATTTAGGGTATTCGGAAACTCCCTTATAGGGTTCTGCACTGGTTGTGGTGGGCTTTTCCAAGGTGCACCTTACACAATTTGTATTTAAGGTCTCATGCTGCTGTCAAGGACTGTACAAAGACTGTTCTTCACTTTCGGGCTTTATGCGACTGTGGGCATTTTTGGTTGAGTTTCTGGGATGGTGTAAGTAACAGTGCCGCCAAGTACCCTTGGACGGAGTCCTTATGGTCTATAATGGTGGGTATCTGGGCTGTAGGAGAAGGTAGTGGGAAGGTCTATGCCGCCCTAAACCCTAAACCCTAAACCCCAAACCCTAAACTCTATGCCCGAATTCTTTTGAAGCTATACGAAAAATTCCTAAGGGCCTTAACACTGTAGGTTTGAGGGACCTAGTGACAAAAAAAACCTACATGGGTAATTGTCAAAATTATGGTCCCATTTGGGGTACCCTAAATAATAGGTGCCGTATTATAATGAGGACCCCAAAAGGGACCATAATTTTGACAACTACCCACATTCATTCACCATCCGCCGCCCGACTTGACGCCATCGTCATCTTTGCTCTAGAGGAGACTTCACAGTCTGGGGCTTGGGGTTTAGGGTTTAGGGTTTAGGGTTTAGGGTTTTAGGGTTTAGGGTTTAGGGTTTAGGGTTTAGGGTTTAGATTTGGGGGGTGTCTCGGGTGACGGAGTTTTGAGGTTTCGGAATTCCGGTATTTGGGGGGTCACGGTTTTTTTTGCTTGCGGGTTTCGGGCTTTCAGGGTGTTTCAGGGTGTGGCTTTGCAGTGGCGTGGAGCTGCATCCACAGGAGAAACTCAGAAATGCAGGGTCGAAAGCCCGACAAAATACAAGAACAACTTAAATCTTAAAACATGCCAGGTCCAAAGGCGAACAAAATCAGCAGCCAGCACAGCCTGATAAACGAAGACAACAGCACAGTCTTGGCAGTTTCAGGGAGACTCCATGTCGCCTTGTTTTGCTCGACTGTTTGCAATGTTACGCATCTGTGCTGCAATATTTCAGGGATCGTAGAGTGACCAAGTCCTTGAGCAACTCATAGCAACCCTAATCCCAAACCCCAGCCCCAAACCCTAAGTCCCAAGCATAAGTCAAAGCCAAAAACCGGTCGTGACGTTTCCAGGAAGGGGACATCAGTGAGAAAGGACTCACGGGGAAGGACTTGAACCATAATCTAGGGGCCTTAATAATAGAAAGGGGTTTGGGGGTATATTATACAATAATAATAATAATTGAATAACCCCCTAAACCCTAAACCGTGTTCCTTCGTGATAAAGCAACGGTGGCCCTGCAAGCTCGATTCAACTCTTGTGGGTGGCCTTATACTTCGAAAGACCCAAGTTCCTCCTGAATCCCAAACACGGTTTAGGGCTTAGGCTTGGCTCCCCAGGAGCTCATAAATAATAAGGGTACCCTTTTTCCTGCTATTTGGCTTTATTAAGGGAACTCCAGAAGAAAAAGGGCAAAAAGGGTACTGCCGGGGAACCTAGTAGGGTTCTGAACTAGACTCTCAACCAGGTAGTATTATTAGGGGTGCCCCTTAAAGGGTACCCCTTCTGAACCCTACTCTTGGCTCTCTTAAAAGGGACCTTATTGAGAGGGTCTATATCCCAAGGGTCCCCCTAATCCTAGCTCCCATCAACCCCGTCCACCTAAAGCCCTTGGGCCACCTACCTTGTCCTGGATGAGCGGCGCGGTCCGACTTGTCTAGATCATTGATCTCAACTGCAAGGTCAGGAACCGATGCAGGAAAATGAAGCGAGTCATGGATTCCTATCAATCTCCTCTAGTGATTTTTAATGTTCCCCTGATGGTTTGTCATAGGGTGTATTCAGGCTTCTGTAGTATGCGCGAGTACTACCAGAGGGCCCCCCAAAGAGTATGCTTGAATCGGTACCTATACGACCAGCAAGGAAATAAAAGCGTTTCCCAAAGTGCCAGCGAGACAATCAACAACTCCTGAACCCGAAAAGCCGTAAACCCTAAAGGCCCTAAATGCACACGGTGCGGGTGTTTCTGCGCTTTGCTCATCCCGTTTATGCTGCGCGACTGCCAGCCCCTGAACCCTACCATCACCAAGAGGCAAGCGCCAGGAAGAGCGAACTGCCGACGTAGCAAGCACAGCAGGTCATCTACGTGCAACGCTAAGAAGTGCGGCGACCTGAGTAGGCGATGGGCAAGCCGCCCGAAGGCGCCCCCTACCCGTGCCCACCAATACGCAGCCCAAGCACAACCGAAATGGCATGTGTGATATACCAGCCAGTGCGTCTGGCCATCCTCGTCCACGACTGTAAACAAGCTGTAGCCGCGCTCACCCTGTGCCACTAGGACCCGTTTGTGAGCCTTGCTAACGTCCAGAATGAACCCGACCCAAGCTTCATCGTCATGACGGGACACAAAATCAACGACATCTGCCAGCGATGGAAGTTCGATCTTTTCGGAGATGCGGCAACGTCCATTGGCGCCCGACACAGTGCTGTCCCCTATCAGGCGGGGGTCCGCACCGTCCTTGCACACCAGGCCTAAACGCCCAGCTGCACACGCTCCCGCGCCTGCGGAAGACCGCCTGGGAGCCACTCTGCAAACCCCATGTCCACGTCGGCTTGCACCATGCGCATGAGCAGCTCCGGATCCTCGAGACCCGATTTCCACGGCGAATCAAACACATGCAACTCGCCAACAACTTCTTCTGGAACATCAACTTCACGCCAAACACCCGACGGAGCAATCGGCTCGTCGATTCCTGTAGGCACTCCATCGCGTAGCAACTCCGGCAAGGCGCCATCCATATCACCTGACAAACGCAAGAGGGCATGAAGAATTTCCAAGGTCAACGGCTGCCCAGGCTCCACGTGAGACGAGCAACGGAACCCTCTGCTTCTCAAGTAAGACACCAGTCCCTCTCGAAGAACCTCAATCTCACCATCACTTAGCAAAGGATCCGAAGAACGCGAAGAGACATGCTCACACAGACGCTCCGGCAGCCGCCACTCTTTGATATATTTCAGCCATTGCACGTGCACTTCCTGTAAACAGTCTTCTGCCCGAGGATGTGCCCAATCCCCTGTAGACTGTATTCCACAACCATCTTTGAGACGGCGGTCCCCGCTCTCAGGAACCACGGACAAGGCCGGAAAGTCCTGCCCCCACGACTCTGAACCGCACAACGACCAAGGGTCTTCGGCGCTGGCCGCGCGTGGGGATCACCGAGACTTCTTAACGTCCTTGGTGCAGCTCCGCGAATCATGGCGGCGATCTCCGCATCTGGCGCACTCATGTTTCCAGCGGCAATTCGGGTCTCGGCACTTTCCGTCCATCCAGTCAAAGCACTCTCCAGAACGGGGCTTTTTGGTGGTCTGCTGCCTCGCATCTTTGCCGAACGGGGCCAGACGTCTCTTCAGTGGAGTGGACTCTTCTTTACCAGGGGTCTTGACCGCTTTGGGCATTTTGGGACGCGCAACTAAAAGGTGTCTCAACATATCCCGGTCAACCACGACGCTGGTGATTGCGTCGTCAAGAGTAGCGCCACTGAAGCATAACGAAAAGATCTCTCGAATGGCCTGCTGGTCAGCCTCCTCGGCCTCCGACAAGTTAGGGGCCCGAAAATGCTCCCCTGCCGGAGCTGCATAGAACTCCATGAAGCGTGCCACATACAACGACCACGATCCCAGATGCCCAGCCCCCGACATGGCGTACGCATGCCCGCGCACGGTCAACATTTGCTGCAAACGGAACGGTGACGGCGACAGGTCCATGTCCCACTCCTCATCGAATCCTCCTCCAGCAGTCAGAAGCAGCTGCTCGAAGGCATCCTCTTTGGCTGAGCGTGGACGACGTGAGTGCAACTCCAGAGCTGCTTTCTCGCTGAGCAGCTTCTTCCACGGCAGCCATTCCCAAGCCTTCTGGGTGCACTGATTCTGCACGAGCTGCAGCAGTGACATGGATGGGAGTGAGGCTTCTGTAACATACAGCCCTGTGTACTTGGCCTCCAGATCGCGTCTCATCTTGTCCCGATGAGCCACGGTGAGTTTGGCCGGCGAACCCGATGCACCCAGGGCTGCCAACACGCCAGGTTGCCCCGGCTGGGGCAACGCCAATGCTGTGACCGCTGGAGCAACCTGAGCCGGCCGGCACGCTTGCCAAACCTGCCGCAGCTTCCCCAGCAGTGGATGGAATGTCCAGTCGCTCTCAGACACGCCGGCCACAAGCTTCTTTGTTACCAAGGCATGCTTACCGAATGCCTTGAAGACCTCCTCCGACTCAAAATTGAATGACGCCTTGCTGTCGTATCCCAGCGACTTCAAACCGGACACCACAGGGTCCGGAACCAACGCGTCTGCAAGCAACTTGTTCCACTCGGTAGCGGCTGCCATGATGCAAATGCAAACAAAGCACAGCAAAGCAAGACACTGACACACGTATCACGCAGAAAGGCTTGAACTCACTGCACGCAGTATAGCCACACCCATCATGCCGCACATGCCCATCCCATAAACGGAGCAGGACCGACTCCGGCCCGCTTTAAACCGTTTCTACACACGTAGACGGCCACAAGCAGACACTCGCCTGCTGCTAGCCACACATGACATCCCGAGGTCAGATACCCGGAAACAGACACTCGTCTGCGCGCACAAATAGCCTGACACTCGCCAGGAGCGGACAAGCAGACACTTCTGCACGATACGACTTCGTAGCTGCCCACGCACACATCCCAGCGCTTGGGCTGCCCGTCCCAGAATAAGAGTTAGGAGTCTCGGCAACCGGAATGCCCACACGCTGTCCAGCCATCAAAGCGCGGATCGGTTTCATGTAGGATGTAGTGCTCCTGCAGGACCGCTCGTGGGCGGCAGGCCAGGCACCACTGATCATCATCGCCCAGTTGGACCGCACGGTGAAACCATCCTGTCTTGGTGTTCAGCAGCCACGGCCCAGAAAACGAAGAGACATCTTCGTCGGCAACGTCGCCCGGCCCGTCGGAAGGAGCCGCCGAGTCCTCCCCGTCCGACCAAGCTGCCACGTCTTCTGGAGCAAC